CACTCCTCTAATTCCTTTTATACCCACCCCCCTCTCATCTGGGGACCGGCTGAAAGGCCGACTCCTCATTTGGGAGTCCATCACATCTGATCGGTGGGTATTGTCCATCATACAGCACAGCTATCGGATAGAATTCGACATCGTTCCTCCATCGAGTCCGATCCGGTTTACATCATGCTCACTGGTATTGCTCGACGAAGTCCAACAACTTCTTCGTAAAGGAGCGATTCAACAAGTGGCCCGGGCGGACAGTCCTCACAGATTCTATTCCAGATATTTTACGGTCCTGAAGCGGGATGGTGGTCTGCGTCCGATCTTGGACTTACGCAATCTGAATAGATTCATCGCAACGAAAAAGTTTCGAATGACCACCCTTCAAAATATTCTGCCTCTGCTAAGATAGAGGATTGGTTCGCCTCATTGGACTTGAAGGACGCTTATTTCCACATTCCCATTCACCTGAATTATAGGTGCTTCCTTCGTTTTGCTGTTGCATCCCAATTATTCGAATTTACAGTTTTGCCTTTCGGACTGGCTACCGCTCCGAGAGTGTTCACCAAATGTATGGCCCCTGCCTGCGCTTTTCTACGCCTCCAAGGGGTACAAATTTACCCTTACCTTGACGACTGGTTGCTGGTTTCCCAATCTAGGGATGGACTTCTCGCCTCCATCCATACGACCTGTGCCTTATTAGACGATCTGGGACTATGCATTAATACCGAGAAATCTTCTCTTCTTCTGGTACAGACGATTACCTTCATCAGAGCCCGTTTGGATTCTACGGTGGGAAAGGACTTCCTTCCTCGGGACAGACAACAGACTCTTGCTCGCCACATCCATCGAATGCGACGAGATGGCACGGTTCGGGCAAAGTCCATCCAGAGACTTCTGGGGCATATGGCTTCCTCAGTTGCTGTGGTCCCACACACCAGACTTCGACTTCGTCCCTTACAACTCCTGTTCAACAAGATGTTCCGTCCACAGAGGGATCCGCCATCAAAGTTGATTCGAATTCCATCCTCTGTGCTCCATTCTCTACTCTGGTGGTCAGTTCCAGCCAGCCTGACTGTGGGGGTTCCATTCAGACCCCAATGCCCTTCGGTAACCCTCAGTACCGATGCATCTCTCCTGGGATGGGGAACAGTATGCTCCAATCTACACACTCAGGGCACATGGAATCATCAAGAATCCAGGAATCGTATCAACTTCCTGGAACTCCTGGCTGTATTCAAGGCCCTGCGTTCTTTCGAGGACATTCTCCGACATCGAGTTGTTCAGATAACTTCGGACAATATAGCCACCGTCTTTTATCTGAACAAGCAAGGGGGAACAAAGTCACCGGCTCTGGCCAGACTCTCGATGAAAATTTGGTATTGGTGCATCCCGAGAGACATTATGCTGATGGCAGTCCATCTAGCTGGTATGGACAATGTGGAAGCAGATCTTCTCAGCAGGTACATGCTCATCTCTCATGAATGGGAACTAGATCCTCGGACGTGCAACCATCTTTTCCGTCGCTGGGGGTTTCCCAACGTGGACTTATTCACCACCCAACAGAACAAGGTGTGTGATGTTTTCTGTTCGAGAGTGGGAATCGGACACGGATCCCTAGGAAACGCCTTCATGAGCCCCTGGAGCAACCTGAACTTTTACGCCTTTCCCCTGATCCCTCTTATTATGAGAGTGATAGTGAAGATAGTACATGATCAGGCTACGGGATTACTGAATACCCCTTGGTGGCCACGCCAAGCTTGGTTTTCGACACTGCTTGACATCTCCCATGGAGAATACCTCCATCTTCCACTGCTTCTGTACCTCATAACCCAATGGGACGGCACGCTTCGCCATCCATATCTACCGTCATTGAACTTAACAGCGTGGTGAATCCGATAACTGATATTTGCTATCGGTATCGATGGCATCTGCAAGTGGGTCGAATCCTGCCTCCGGATCCGGTGAGTTCAGCGCTTCCTCACTTGTTCCTCCTGCGTCATCGGATCCAAGCAATGTCCCGTTGGTGCCGACAGCCTTTCATCTGGATATTCAGCACATCCTTGATTCTGCATTAAAACTGTCTACACGGAAGTCCTACATGGCAAAATGGCGATGGTTTTCGACCTTTGCCGAGTCTCATTCGTTCTGTCCATATGCTGCATCTATACATCAGATCCTTCAGTTCCTATTAGAACTGCATCAGTCTGGACTGAAGCCGTCTTCTGTTAAAGTGTACATGGCAGCAATCGCCTATCATCATGGCTTAGTTGACGGATCACCCATCTTCTCTCAGCCTATTATAAAGAGATTTCTGAAGGGACTTCATAATCTTAACCCATCAATCAGACCACTGATGCCTACCTGGAGTATCTCTGTAGTCTTACAAGCCCTTATGAGAGCTCCCTTCGAACCCTTAGCAACAGTCGATTTACGCCTTGTTTCCTGGAAGACAGCGTTTCTTGTGGCGGTTACTTCAGCTCGAAGGGCTAGTGAACTATTTATTTATTAGAACATTTCTATGCCGCCCCTTGCCGAAGCCTCGGGGTGGCTTACAACACAATAAAATACAAAAATAACAATATAAAATTAAAGTTAACAATATAAAATAAATGAAAAATATAAAAGAAGTCGCCCTGGCCAGATAAATAAGCAAATATTGTTAACAACTATGCACTCTCCGCATAGATCCTCCTTACCTGAATTTTCACAGAGAAAAAGTTGTCTTGCGATTAGATCCATCTTTTCTTCCTAAGGTAGCCACCTCTTTTCATATGGGACAAGACATTGTCTTACCTGCCTTTTTTCCATCCCCGACGACTCCATTAGAAAGATCGTTGCACTCACTTGACATTCGGCACTGCCTAGCCTTCTATAGATCGAGGACTGAGTCTATTCGACGCTCAAATAAACTCTTCATCAAATACTCCACCCGAGATCAAGGCGATCCGGTCACTCCTCAGAGGCTTTCCAAGTGGATAGTCCATACAATTACCCTGTCTTATCAGCTGGCTAGTATTGACTTACCTACAGTTCCTCGAGGCCACTCGCCTAGGGCTGTCGCTACATCATCTGCTTTCGCGTCAGGAGTCCCAATTGATGACGTATGCAGAGCAGCTACTTGGGCAACTCCTTGCACTTTCGCTAAACATTATCGCCTAGATGTTCGTGCTAGGCAAGACTGGCAGAGCTGTCCTTTCTTCTGTCCTTCGCTGATGACACCTCCCTCCTCCATTTGGGGTAAGCTTGTTAATCTACCCATATGTGTGATGCACAGAGGCCACGACAAAGAAAAGCAGGTTGCTTACCTGTAACTGATGTTCTTCGAGTGGCCATCTGTGCAGTCACACAACCCACCCGCCGGCCCCGCTCGGTGTCGGTGAGTGGACATTTTCGTCGGTACCGAACATTTCCCTTTTTTCATGGTACCGATCTCATTTATAGTAGGGATATTTTTTCCACATGGGGGTGAACGTTCGGTCTTCAAAGACTGAACAAAATGGCGGATGCTTCTGTCTTTATAGGCTAGAGGGGGAGGGGGAGCGGAGGTTTTTCCCACCAAAAACCGTTAGCTATCAATCTTCTGGCCAAAGGCACTGCGCAGGCGCAGCACCCATATGTGTGACTGCACAGATGGCCGCTCGAAGAACATCAGTTACAGGTAAGCAACCTGCTTTTATTACAATGGCAGCAGTCTATGACATGACACAATGTAACAGAAACGAGTGCCTTTCCATAGAGCTTTTAAAACTGGCAGTGTTAATGGCTTATTTCAATATAAAGCCAAACCATGGGTTGCCTATTTTAGACAAGCTTGGGTGCTTCATAATACCTTGCATACATCAATGCTCTCTATTCCTGATTTATGCAAACCATTGCTTGGCTCCAATTAAAAAACTGGAACCCACTCCAAGCTCTGGTTTGTGCCAAAAAATAACTTACTCAATTTGGACATGGTAGAAAACTATGGCTTGTTTAAGCCAGGAAAGAAAGGGCTGAATTGGACTGCATATTGTGAAGGAGTGTGTGAGCCTGTAGCCTGTTCCTTATAGCCAAATGATGGCTTTGACATTATGTTTGAACCAGTGTTGTGCAAAATAATGCACTTTGCCCTTGGGCTGCCCTGCCTGGAACCACTTGGCCATGCTTAGTATAATCATACCAACTATAAAAAAATTGCTAATTCTCTATTCTATAAAGGAAGCCACAGCCTTGAGTTTACAAGAATTGAACTGGGCTATCAAGGACTACATTGATAGGTTTGAAAGGTCTTAACAGCACATTAAGGACAAAAAATTATCTGCTATTTGATGGGAATAGGATGCGAGTTTTAAGAAATTGTATAGTAATAGTGCTAGCTTCCCATACTTTACATTGCCCAGCTTCATATTATTTCATTGCACTTATACCCTGCCTTTTTTCCACCTTTGAGCAATTCAAGGCAACTTAATTTGCTCTATATTATCCTCACAACAACAGCCCTGTAAGGTAGGCTGGGCTGAGAGGGAGTGACTGACTCCAAGTTCATAGATGAGTGGGGATTAAAACCCAGATCTCCCAGGTCCCCAGGCTAGCACTCTCACCCCATATGGTATAAGATTCTTACACCAAGATTTAAAATTGTAAGCTGGAAAGTCTCTAGGAGGCATCTAATGTTACAAATAGTACTGCTACACTCTGCACATAACAAAAAAAATTCTCTGTTGTGCATTGGAATAAACAAATGCCATCATAGCAAGCTATTTTATTATGTCCCCTCAGGTTTACTGCATGATTCAGTTTCTGTTGATCTGGTCTTAACAAAGGAACACCACCAGAAATGTGCACAGACTCCAGATTATACTGATAAAAAAACAAATCAGGACAAAAAAGAGATAAATGATGAAGAAATGCTTATTGATCAAATGACATTACCTGCTTGGCCATTGGATAGAACTATTTTTGAGAAACTGCCTCCTAGACTTCATAAAGGTAAAGATAAAAAAAACTACCTATTTTTAGTGTAAAACTAAGTCACATTAAATTATTTCAGTAATTAGCAATGGTGGATGCAAATAAGAATAGCAAAGTTCAGCCAAATTTACAAGTTCCAGTTAATTTCAGTGGAAGACGTTAGCATGCTAGAATCTCTACCACTGAAATCAGTGGAACTAAGAAGTGGCTGGCTTGGCCTGGGTCATGCTCAGTGCTTTTCTTGACTCTGTAGTGTTTTAGAAAATGCTTTTGTTGTTCTAATGTGCTGGACCTGAGCTGGACTTTTCTTGGTTCCTATAAAGCTTGACTGAACAGGTTGTTTGGTTTCTTTTTGCACTTTCCCCCATTACCCGTCCGACCAGTTATGCTACACAAGCATTAGTTTAATGCTAATGGAATGTTGTTAGTACCACTGGGGTGCAGTGGGATTTTACTGATGTTTTTAAACTGTTGTCACATTTCTATCCCACCTGATGTCCTCCACATATTTTGCGACCCCATCTGCCCTTTGTATGACTAGGAATGCTGGGGCTGTAGTACAAAACACCTGATGGGCACCAGGTTGGGGTAGGCTGCTATACAAGTTTCTTGGGGAGAATCACAAAATGAAAGAAATACTCACTGGAAATTGTGTATGGTTTGATTTGGGATCAAGCCAATGTTTTTTTTCTTCCCCAAGCACCTGAACTAAACTTAAGGGCACACTTACGTTTTTCCTGTTGGAGTCTGAAAGGGCAAGAATTACCTGCCCTCAGAGCAGCTACCTTGCTTTCTTGCTTCCTGTCCCATTTTTAAAGAAGCAAGCCCACAGTAGTGATTCCCACCAAGACACAGTGGGCAGATTCTTCTGAGGTTATTTTAAGGTGCATGTCTGCACCTGGATTGCAAGTACAATCCTCTTGCACCTGAAGCAAAGACAACTGAATGAACTATCCTCAGGGAAGCTGACTGAAAATATGGAAACTTGTGTCAGTCAGATAGTGATTTTGATAGAATGTGCCTTCTGCACATTGGAGTTGTAGTAAGCAGTAGTTCTTGAATTCTGACATAAGGAGGCCTGTTACGGCCTTTCCATGAGTCCAAACAGTTATCCTTACTAAGTCTAAAAGTAATTCATTTGGGATTAATGACTGTGTAAATTACAGCATTGCAGGAAGCTTGTAAAGAAAAACTTGGACTCTATGCTCAGCTTTCTAAATTTCTACCAATGCGACTGATGTCCTATATGATGCTGCCATATACTCTTCCAGTTGAGTCGGCATATTTTGTGGCCTTAAGGTGAGTGTTAAGAACTTGTATAAAAAGAAGTCTCTTTATACTAATGCTTTTTATATTGCAAATCTAAGTGCTCAAATAGCCTTTTCTCAAATTTGGGCTCTCTTTGAAAAACCTTCTTTCACTCCTGCAGATTAGTAGATTGGTTTCCTGATATTCCTGATGACATGCGATGGATGCAGGAACAGCTCTGTCAGATTATGGGTGCAGTATATTCCAAAGCAAGAAAAAGGCTACTGAGTTTTCCCAGGTATATTTGTGCTTTTATATGTGTTCTTATCCATTGGTTGGCCAGGAACGGATACAATGCTTCTGATGTCTTAATCACTCTTAGGAAATTGAGAGTGTTCTCTGAACCTCTGCATTTCCCTCCCTCTCCTTTCATGTATGAAGCTCTCCACACTTCCTTTTTCAGAGCTAGCCATGGTGCAGTGTTGTTCCTGCAGTTAAACTTATACTGAGTCTGGGACAACACTAGAAGCAATGCTAATTGTATGTAATCATGGGAGAGTTAGTGTGACTTAGTAAGCATGAGAGACAGAGAGGTGTAATGGTTACAGTTCTGACCTGGGACTCAAGATCTGGTGAGGCTGGGCCATTGACTGACTCTCAGTCTAACCTACCTCACAACGTTATGTGTTATGAAAATAAAATGGAGAGCAGGAAGGACTTTTTTAGGGTAACACTGAGATATTAAAAAAATATCAATGGCATATAAATGGTTGCTGGAGATGCAGCAGTAAAGGGACCATAAAAGAGAATGCTTATCCCACTTGCAGTTACAGTGACAATCATTCCCCAGATTGTTAGCCAGAGGTGGTAAGTTCCCTTGGCAGCAGTAGACTAATAGCCACAGCAGGAGCAATTGTCAGGACCAGTGAATGGAAGGGTTAGCTTACCCTGCCACAGTTCTGATCCTGCTCCCCAGTGATGATTCCACTGATCTGGCCCTAGATGCAATCCAGTAACCTCTAATTATGCTTGAAGCTGTAATGAAACCAGAGCTGTTCATGCACTAGCATTGATGTTACCTTGTACAAAGATACTTATAGGGAAGATCAGCAAATTAAAAATACGTATTTAGTCATCTGTCAGGAGGAGGAAGGACTGTACCTCACATTATATATGATTAAACTCAAAAGTTGCTGATTAATTTCTTTTTTCCTTACAGTAAAGAAAGTGGTACATGGATTAGAAAATGCCAGACTGCACCAGTGAACACAAGTCTTCACTCTTCCTGTTGCCTTCCTAAAAAACATCATTCTTCTACACACCTTGAAGAGTGGCTTTGGGAACTTCCCTACTGTGAAGACTTAGCAAAGAAGAAAGTTGCAGTTGGTATTAATGAAGGCTTTGATGCAATTCCTCCCTTCTTCATGAATTCTGAAGAGTCTGGGGTAGAAGTGGATTTTGACTCTTCCTCAGAGAAAAGTTTCCAAACTGCTTATGAAGATTAGCTTGAGAACTTCAGCATCAGACAAAGAAATTTCAATCTGGAAGGCTTATGTTCATCTTGCCAAATAGTCTTTTTGATGACTTTGTTTACAATGGAAGACAAATTGGCTTTAGGGAATCTTCTGTGAAAAGATAAATGTGCTATTCTGGTCTAGGTTCCTGATAATGAATTAGGAGAAAGACCATTGTGCAAGGGAACACTGTTTATCCAAACAAGGTTTTCATTAGGAGAAAAGAACAGTCTAAGTTCTCCTGTGCTGATGTGTTTTTATATTGGGACAATCCATCTTGCAAAACTGTAGCTTTTTAAAGTATTTAACTTTTGAAATGTTGTTTTTCCTGTTTGTCTTTATAAATGGTGTTTTAACTTGAGTAATGTGAAACTACATATATATAAAGGATCAGGGCATATCCTAACCTTTTGGAAGGACTGTGATGCTTTTAATTGCCTTATCTGTAACTATATTTTACTAGTGGAGAGTGTGACCATCTCAGTTGCACTCCCTGTTGTGATGCTTCCTTTTCAAGACCACTGTATAGAGACCATGTTCATCTTACTGACCAGTTTGTTTCCTGAGAAATGTTTTTTTTTGTTGGCATTGGTGCAGAAGCTGTTGATCTAATCCAGACTTCCAGGTTATACACATGTGCTGGAGCATACTAGGGCATCCTTATGAACTAAATTCAATCCTGGTGAGCAAGATTACACTTTAAACATTATTGGAGAAAGCAACTTGCTGGCCTTTCTCTCTTAGAAAAGCCATTGATCAGAAGGGCAACTCTAATGCAGATGTTGTTAAGATGTGTTGTGCAGTTCCCTGATGCAGAGCAAGTACGTGGAGAGTCATATTGTGACTTGGAATGTGTGGAACTTAAAAGGCTGCCATTTTCTCTTACATGTTCTTAATAGTTGCAAGAAATAAAGAGAAACTTGAAACAGTGAATTTTGTGAATTCCCTGAAGTAGGGAACTCAGAAACCCTAGTGGCATGAGTTTCACTAAATTTAAACCATTTTTAGCCCAGTCCTTACTGACACAATTGTGTTAAGTGTGCCAAATAATTCTAAGTCATGGCCTTAACATCAGAAGTTGAAAGACATTTTAAGTAATGAACTCTTTGTCAAGTAGCTCTCATTTTAGTAGCATGTGTTGTGGTGATAACATAAACTCTCTGAAATACTTGAGATCATATTTGAAGAGTTGTGCATGGGTACTCTTGGCTTCACAATGTATCACTTAAAGTAACAAGGATACTCATTTAGGACACAGGATTTAAACTTTGTTTTCAGAAATCAGACCTTTCCTGCAGACAGTTAAGCACTCTCCGTCTTGGCCAGTTTTAGGACTGTTTGATGAGATGTTCTGTGATAATGGTGTGAATGATTGTCTCATTGTAATAGTCTTAAGGGCCAATTAAGGGAGGAGTGGCAAGGAACTGCTTAGTTATTGATGAGGAAGGTTGTAAATTGGCAAATATCGATGACTTCACTGGAAGTGGTAAGTCTGATTAAAATATTTTGTATATTTTAAATTATTCTAATGAACAACTTATGGCAGGTTTGGTTTTGACCAAAAATTAAGCAATCCTTCATCTGTGACTTTATAATGACAAGCAAAAGAAGCACTTCAGTTCAGTGGGAGAAATAAACTACTTCAAAGGGTTGATAGTGTCACATTATTAATAGTGCTGAAATCAACTTTTTTATAATCTTATTGGTGCTATTTCATCCAAGATACAGTCTTTGACAGATTGTTCTGTATGAGATTTGGTTGTACTCATTATTTTAATAATTCTGACTATTTTAAAATAGGAATATTGCTACAGTCACTGACATTTTTAAGAAAGTGAAATAAAACTTAATTTGAAAGACTGTAACTGCTTGATTCGTTGTAAGAATGTATCTGTGGAGAGTTTCATTATTGAGGCCTCCCAAATTTTTGGTTTAGTTGAAATTTTGAATGTGCCATGGATGCACTTATAAAATGGCTGCTATGGAAGAGTGGCGTACCTATTCACAAGATGAGTGTTGTTATGAACATACTCAGTCACAAAACTGGCTAAAAGAAATGTAATTTGTCCAGTAGCCCTAAGTACAATGAATAGCTGTCTGAATGCCAAAATATAAAATCACTTTTCTGAACCCAGTATTCTGATCAAGTTTTGTGAACCATTCACTGGTAAGGTTCACAGACAATTAGAATGGCAAAGCAGCTAAGTACAAGGCAGAGGTGGCGCTGAAACTCAAATGCCAGATTTGGATTGCTCCCAAAAGCATAGCAAAATAACAATTTCAAATAAGCTCATATTTGTTGTTGTTAGACGAAGTCGTGTCCGACCCATCACAACCCCATGGACAACATTCCTCCAGGCCTTCCTGTCTTCCACCATCCCCCTGAGTCCACTTAAGCTCACACCAACTGCTTCAGTGACTCCATCTAGCCACCTCATCCTCTGCCATCCCCTTCTTCTTTTGCTATCTATTGTTCCCAGCATTAGGCTCTTCTCCAGTGAGTCCTTCCTTTTCATTAGGTGGCCAAAGTATTTGAGTTTCATCTTCAGGATCTGGCCTTCTAAAGAGCAGTCAGGGTTGATCTCCTAGAGGAGATCAAC